GATCTAAGCTTATATTCTCCACTCTCTTCTGGTAGATTACATATAATATTATAGAAAAAGCTAAATGAATTTAAAGCAAATTAGGCCTATCACTTCGATAAACGCGACGACCATGCTGATAACTGTAAATCAACAACCTCGTTGACACAATTCAGATCATTTGGGGGGCGGCGGTTTTAATCCTGCTATCCAGGCTAACCCGCGGGTAGAGAGATACGTCCAGACAAAAAAAAACCCATGGAGACATTTAATAGTAAAACTTCTCCAAACGGGAATCGATCTTACGTCTTCTGTGTGTAAAGACGAAGAGGCATGATATTATGTCACAGACTCTCGTCCGATCTAACAATAACTGTAAACCCGACGTCGTAACTTCATAACTACATGCGTACTTTTAAGTTTAAAGAAGAAGAAGAAGAAAAAAAGAGAGAAGTTGTGTTAAGAAATAACAACGGGGCGCCTTGCCTCCTTTGTCAGAGGTAAAAATGGCACGGTTCAGTAAGTACGTGCCAAAAAGTTTATGTCATAGAACAAGACATAAAACCAGATGCTGCGTCGGAGAATGGGAGGTCCCGTGGAGGCGTGGGGTGGCGCACTAGGGCACACTTCGCACAAACTGCGTGCCTGGCTGTTTCACACGTTCAAGGCCAAAATCAAGCCATTTGTTTTGCGCATCGGTTGTTAAAATCTAGTCTAGTTAGGCTGGGATTCTTTGTTTAAAATAATAATAGATCTATGTAGATTTTTTTTTGTTTGTCCATTTTTTAAATGTAGTTTTTTGTGGTTTATTTTTGCTATAAATACGGAGACAGTGACTGTTTGTTTATAATAATATGTAGATTTTGTTTGTTTGCTGATTTTTAAAATGTTGTTTGTTGTGGGTTTTTTGTTGCTATAAATACGGAGACAAGTGAAGAAGTGGATTATGCGTAAATACATTCGAGCGATTTTTGTCCACGGAGAAAAATTGTCGCTTTTAAGCACAAGCGGGCTATCCCGAAAAATGCTGTTTTGAGAAAATCGAAGGTAAAGTTTTTGCCCATGTTCAGTTTCTTTAAAAGACAAGGAGAGTTTTCTCTATAGTCAAACAAATATACACACCAATGAAACCAAACTTCTCCTATGGGTAGGACAATGCCTACTTTTGGTGTAGCTTAAGATTTCTGGGAACCCCTGAAATCTGGGTTAGCCCGCTTGTCCTTAAAAATCGATAATAAATAATAAAATAAGTCATCTTTTCGGTGTCAGAGTGAAAAGCGCGTTTAGTGTCGAATCTGACTTAGACGAGAGACCCATAGTTGAGCTGTTGAACTCAGAGTGTTTTTTTAACATTTTCGCCGCGCACCGCTTCGCGTTGATAATGACTTAATGGAGCAGAGGAAGATAGGAATAACGCTAACATTTAAAAGAATAGTAAAAATAACTCAGCTGACAATGAGTAGAAGCATGTCTTCTCAATAATTATTTGCATAACCACTATCTCACATCATCACTCACCACCACCGTCATATCTAAAATATTCATTGCCTTCAGATGCTTGACAAACATAATATTTACCTTGAATTGCTACATGAAACATGTTCATGTTACAATAATCATTTACGTAATGGACTATTTGAACACTATCATACGAACCTTTTTCTACTAATCAGATGGCGTCGATCTCAAAAACATGGGCAAGGGACAAAAGAAAAAAAAAGACAAAAAAAAAGAGAGAGGAAAAGAGAGAGAGAGAGAGAGAGAGAGAGAGAGAGAGAGAGAGAGAGAGAGAGAGAGAGAGAGAGAGAGAAGAGGGGAATATAGTGAGAACAGTGCCGTCATTTTGTAGGTATTGTCATCACTTTTTAAAAATCTCCATTTCATTCTTCTATTCATTCTCTCAATTTCTTTCTATCATATCATCTTGTCTGCGTTAACCATCTTTTAATTTTTCATTTTTGTACAATATTTCATCATTGTCATAACTCATAACCAATTCTTTACCTACCCACTTCATCATTCATTACAAAATCTGTTCGCCTGTCTACCATCAAACAATTGGTATTAAAAAATAACATGTTCAAGTGATAACATTCACAAAAGTGACAGACTTGATTGGAACTTTTCCTCTCCCCCCCCCCTAATGTCTTTTTGTGTCAGGCCGTTGTAAGAACGTACATCCCCACCGCTTTCCCGTTTCCCCTTTCCCCTACTCCTCACTCTTTTCATTGATTGACAATTCAAATTTCTCTTACTCCTCACTCTCTAAACTCACGTATAATACCATGCTCTCTGGGAGTTGATATACCCACATTGCAATTTGTGTTAGCGCTGGGTGTACATGATCTTTCATTTTCTCGCCTCCTTTCTCACGCAGACTAATTGGTGCTGGAACAATGTTTTTGCTTTATTTTTTAATAAAGAGAAGCATACTATGAGCCTGATAACGACCATTTAGTGCATAGAAAAGAGAAAAAGCAAGAAAAACAAAACAAACAGATGGAAGCAACAACAAAAAAAGTAGAGCCCAGTGCCACGACCCACCAATTATCTCCACATTTTTGGGGGGTCTGGCTGTAAATTATGATAATAACAGTAGATCTACCAGTCATAATCCTCATTCATTCTATCCATGAAGAGTAAGAGGATATAAAGGTATACTATTAGAGCGGGTAAAAGAAAATATTATAGATGTGGGCCAAAATACGGGTAAAAAGAAACCCCAAAACAAGCAAACCCAAAACGAAGGTATGGAAATAAAATTATGGGCCAAAAGTGGGCAGGACAACAAAAGTTTGGGCCTAAAGTGGGTTAGAAAATAAGGTTTGAGCCAGAAGAGGATTAAAAACAGATTTTGAACAAAGATGAGTAAAAACAGACTTAACAGTCGCCAGCAGAAGACCCGAGTTCGTTTCCAAAGTGGGGAGAAAGTTTATCAAGTATGCTGTCTTTCTGCTGGGATAGTGTAGTCCTATCAGATGGGGTGGGCTCTTAAGGACAGAGTCAAAGCCCGTCTCCTGAAAGAGCTAAATTGTGTCGTTGGGGGCGTAAAACACCAACATCAAAAAACGTTTTCATGTCTGTATCGTCTATCGCATTATCAAGACCCCAGGCAAGATAACGTTTAAGATACAAGGTATGTCCAATAGATATAATAGCTCATTTATTTAATGATTTTTGTTGCAAAATGTATTTATCATACGAAACGTATTTTACATTCGAACAGTGTGCCTGTTAATTGTTGAATTAGTGTACAGACTGTCTGATGTGTACTTTGGACATTGGTAATGGGGTTATTAATGTTAGTGGGTTTTTCTAAACAAAATTTTCCGTAGAGACACGAAAACCAAGAACACATTTTTTAATTATATAGTTTACGGAGAACAAACCACAAAATGATAGTATTTTAAAAAAATAAAATATTGTCTAGGAAAATGAAAACCTAGAACACATAAGCCACCAAATGTTAGTAGGTTAGAAAATAGTTTTTTGGAATATGAAAAACTAGAAAACATATATTATTTATGAAACACAAACCATCAAATGTTAGTATGTTAGAAAATATTTTTTTTTGGGAATATTGAAATCTAGAAAACATATATTATTTATGAAACACAAACCACCAAATGTTAGTATTTTAGAAAATATTCTGTAAGAACAAGAAAACCTAGAATACATAATAACATATTTAGTTTAAAATGAACAAACCACCAAATGTTAGTATCAATTTAAAAAAACATTCTGTTGGAAAATGAAAACCTAGATAACATATATACATTTGTAGTTTATGAAGCACTTGTATTTTAGAAAATATTATGTAGGAACATGAAAATCTAGAAAACATATTATATACATGTAGTTTATGAAGAACAAACCAGCAGATGTTATATTAGTACTTTAGAAAATGTTCTGTTGAAACATGAACATCTCGAAAACATAATATATAGCTTATGAAGAGTAAAACCACCAAATTTCAGAAATTTTAGAGAAGATATTCTGTTGGAATATTTGAAAACCTAGAACACATAATAATCTATATTTTTGTTGTTGTTGTTTTGTTGTTGTTGTTTTGTTGTTGTTTTTGTTGTTTTAGTAGAGGTTTTACGGCGCTCTCAAATGCATAATCTATAGTTTATGATAAACAAACCACCAAATGTTAGTATTTAAAAGAAGTATTCTGTAGGAACATGAAAACCAAGAACCCATAGTTTATGGAGAACAAACCACCAATTAATGATACTATTTTAGAAAATATTCCGCAGGAACACGAAAACCTATAGGTCACACAAAACAATCCTCTTAGCTTTAAAAAAAAAAGATGCAGAATATAATTATTATCAACACAAACGGCATAAACTCACTTGATTTTATACTGAAATAAAGAACTTTTAGAATTTCATTCATCTAATAATAGTATTAATAGAGAGTTGATTCCACGACCTGTTACTGTAACCAAAAGCTAACAGTCGTTGCAAGAAGGAACAAGTAACGCACGCAAATTGTCTTCCTGCTCATTTACTGTGATGAACGTATTGTGTGTGTGTGCGTGCACGCGCGCCCGCGCGCGTGTGTGTGTGTGTGTGTGTGTGTGCGTGTGTGTGTGTGTGTGTGTGTGTGTGTATGTATGTATGCATGCATGCATGTTTGTGTGTAT